CTAACGTGATAAATTTTCGGTTTGTTTTCAAGGAAATTTCGCAAAATAGTTCTATTTTTGGCTAAAAACAAACTAAAACGCTCAGAAATGGACAAAATAATGTACTTTTCGGCTTATTTTAGCGATTTTTTTACCTTGTTGGGTGAAATATCATTTAGAAAAAGAAAATTATCTCACTAACCCCCAGATAATTGTTCATGTCTTCGTCGGGGACTGGTATAGCAAACTCCTCCATAATATCATACAATTCCTTGCAATAATCCAAATTATTTTCCATATCGTTTAATTTGGTATTAGCATCGTCCAAATACTCCAAATATTTCACATAATCAACAGTTGTCACCGGTTGGTGGTTTAGACTCGTTTCCATATTCTCCGACTCTTCAATCAATCGATCAATTTCACTTTTACCAATCCAAGGAAGAATGTGAGTTAGGGCCGAAATCAGTCTTTCCGGTTCCGGTTTTGCACAGTCTTTCAAATGACTCAATTGCAAATTTAACATTCCAAGAGACTGCGACACGATAACACCGTCAATAATATCAAGTTCCTGATGATAACGATTACACAGGTTTCGAAACGTTTCAATATCCCTTTCTTTTTTCAAAGCTTCCTCTTTCATTTCCTCATCTTCGGCGAAAAATTCACGAATATAATTGTATTTATTCACGTACAATTGGGCCATTTTGTAATTATGGTCGAAATGTTTGATCACTTGGCGTCGAGAAGCTTTCAGTTTCTTGTCATCGTCGAGGTAGAAGTGCAGAGTGGGGCCGTAGCTGCAAATCCGGGCCTCCTCTTTGCCATTTATTATCGGGCTGAAATTAAAAAAAATATATTTTTGAAAATTGTAAAATTTGGGAAACTATGCAACCAACATTACTTCATGAACAAACATTTTAATTATGCAACCAACATTACTCGTGAAAATTCTGTGCAAAAATTTAAAAAACTGCCACCTACATTTGCCACCTTATTATTTGTTAACAAATTTTGTTCAAATTCTTAATATTGGCCGTAATTCATTTTAAATAAGTCACCAATGGCAAAAAAAAAACAAAAATAAAATAGTAATTTGTTTTCGAATTTGAACTTTTTTTGATTATTTTGACTTAAGAAATTGTTTATTACAGCTCTGATATGGTTCATTTTGTGCTAAATTTTGCAATAATTGTAGTTAAAAATTTGTAAAGTGCAACCTACATTTTTTGTGAAATTCTGATCTACAAAAATTTGTAAATTGTGAACAAGCATTTGAAGAATTATGCAACCAACATTACTTGTTAAAATCCAGTGCAAAAATTGAAAAAACTGCCTCTACATCTACAAAAATTTGTAACAATATTATCCTTATTTGTTAATTTTGGGGTTAGTTTCGGACTATAATTAAAAAAATGCTCTAACTTCATTATTTGTTAACCAATTTTGTTTAAATATTTAATATTGTCTCTAATTCATTTTAAGTGTGTCATCACGAGCAAAAAAAAACTAAAATAGTAATTTGTTTTCAAATTTTTGACCATTTTAACCCAAGAAATGTTCTATTACGGCTCTGATATGGTTTATTTTGTGCTAAATTTTGCACTAATTCTAGCTAAAAATTTCGAAAACTGCAACCAAATTTTTTTTTGTGAAATTTTCATCTACAAAAATTTGTGAACTATGCAACCAAAATTACTTTGTGAACAAACATTTGAAGAATTATGCAACCAACATTACTTGTGAAAATTGTGTCCAAAAATTTTAAAAGCTGCCACTTAATCTACAAAATTTCTAATATTATTATCTTTATTTGTTAATTGCTAGTTTAAGACTATAACTAAAAAAATGCTCTAACTTTACTACTATAAAGGCCCCTTCAGCACACAACACTTTTTAAGGTAAAACACCCCGATTTTCAAGGGTAAACTGAAAAGCAGTGGGGTCCTTCAGCACACAGCACTTTTTAAGGTAAAACACCCCGATTTTCAAGGGTTAACAGAAAAGCAAAAAAAATCGTGAGAACACCCCCGTTTTCAAGGTATATTTTAAAAATTAACATTTTTAAGGAAAACACCCCCGAATTTCAAGGGTAAACTGAAAAGCAGAAAAAATCATGAAAACACCGTCGTTTTTAAGGTATTGTCACGGGCCTAAGCTCGTGCAAGGGGTTAAGACAAAGACCAGGGTAGAAAAATAGAATTTATTGCTTACAAACTAAGTACATAACTTAAGGGAGTACTCACCGTCATCTTATGAGAGACATCTCTCGTAGTACTCCACAAATAATGACGAGGGGAGGGCACAGGTCACTATTCGGGGTCACTCGCACACCCGCCGCGAAGAGTTACCACCAAAAGGAACGCGACTAACAACTC